ATTCTTACATTGGCTAGTTATGTATGACCATCAGGCTCTGAGGTGGTAAAAATTGCCCCTACCCATTTGGTGTGAAAAATTGTATAAACAATGTTTAAAATTAAAATTCAATAACTACGTTAGACTAAGCTTTACTATAGGGGCTCAACAAAAGTTTATCAAACATCATCTTGATGACTGACCACACAATTATAAATGCTTCACTTATGTTTCCTTTTCTCAGTAAACATCACTCAGGATAACCTCATAGATGATGTTTTTTCATTCATAAGAGGAGGAAACAAAAATTATGTGCTTGAACTGAAAGAAAAGCTTCTCAGAGGAGCCAAGACGATTGATGTGACTGACTTTGTAAATTGGGCCAGTTCCTTAAGTGACGCTCCGGTGCTCATAAGCCAAAAAGTAAGGAATGTTTACTTCCAAAGGGCAGATTATGTCATTTTCTTATAAAATGTCACAGTTGGTTCAAATGAAGAATTAACTTCATCGGGAGGAGATGGGGTAGCATTCAGATGCACTCTCATCTCACACCTGGAAAGCAGGGTGGTGTAAAGAAAAATGGGTGGAGTGTGGTGTTGACCCAACCTGAGTTCCTGTCCCTCACTAAATTGTGACGTTCTCTGACTTCTTCAACATCTGATTCTCTGGGCCCCAGTATTTATTCTGAGGGCTTGGTAAGATTGCTTCTATAGAGCCTAGAGTATGGACTGGCACAGAATCAGTACTCAGAATTGTGAGTTCCTTTCCACCTGCCCTTGGTTCTCCCTTCCCTTCTACATGTGGCATTCTGCTACCTCTTCGTATACAGGAGAATCTTGTTATGAAGGAACACTATGCAAAAGAAGGAGTTATGGGTGGCACAAATGGTTAAGTACTCCACTAATAATCGAAAAGTTTGAGGTTCTAGTCCATGCTGGCACTTCTTAACAAAGTCCCAATCCACTTCAGAAAGCTCAGAGCCACTGAAAACCCTATGGAATGCAGTTCTATACTGAAACAGATGGGGTCACCATGGATTGGGATCAACTATGTAGCAACTGGTATATCTGTTACACAAAGGAAGTCCATAAGGTCTCTAGGAAATCCATAGGGTCCCTAAGAAAATAAAACTTAGGGGTGAGCAAATCACATGGTCAGGATAGTCCTTTGCTATATCTTGATTATAAGTCTTCAGCTTTAAATCCTTTGGCTATTCACACTGTAGTACTTATTCTAGGAACTCTGGTGGTGTAGTGCCTAAGGCATTTGACTGCTAACCAGAAGTCTGGCAGTTCAAACCAGCCATTCCTCAGAAGAAAGACTGGGATACTGCCTCAGAAACCCAAGGAGGGGTCGCTATTTGTTGGATCCGACCTGATGGCAGTGAGGTTGGGTTTTTTTTGTTTGTTTGTTTTAGTGCTTATTCTTAGTGGAGAAACTGCATTGTAATTGTAAAGATATAAATGTCGATGCTACTTAGCCCCATTTTCTCTCCCCCAGCTAAAAAGGGAATGTTTTTCTTTATTCTTTATTCCTTCTTTTATTCCTGATATACCAAACCAAACCCACTACCATCAAATCAATTCCTACTCAAAAGAACTCTATAGGACAGAGGCGAACTGCCACATAGGGTATCCAAGGCTACAAATCTTTATGGAAGCAGATTGCCTCATCTTTCTCCTGTGGAGCAGATGGTGGGTTCAAACCACAGACCTATTGGTTAGCAGCCGAATGCTTTAATGACTGCGCCACCAGAGCGAGCTCCTTTATGTTGCTGTTGCTTGTTGCCTGTGGGTTGGTTCCTATACACAATAGAGGAAACAGAAGGCCTGCACCATCCTCACAATCATCGCCGTGCTTGAGCCGATCAAGGCAGCTGCCGTGTCAATCCACCTTGTTGAGGGTCTTCCCTTTTTTCACTGACCCTCTGCTTTACCAAACATTATATCCTTCTCCAGGCACTGCTCCCTTCCAACATGACCAAAGTAGGAGAGACAAATTGTGGCCATTTTTGCTTCTAAGGAGCGTTGGGGCCACACTTCTCCCAATACAGATTTGTTTATTCTTGTAGCAGTCAATGGTATGTTCAGTAGTTTCAACCAACACCAAAATTCAAATGTATCAATTCCTTTTCAATCTTTTTTTTCACTGACCAACTTTCATATGCATATGAGGTGATTGAAAAGACCATGAATTGGGTGAGATACACTTTATTCTTGAACGTGACATCTTTGCTCCTTAACACTTTAAAGGGGTCTTTTGCAGCAGATTTGCTGCAATATGTTGTTTGATTTCCTGTCTGCTGCATCCATGGGTGTTGATTGTGGATCCAAGTAATATGAAATCCTTGACAACTTCAGTCTTTTCTCCATTTATCATGATGTTGCTTAGTGGTCTACTTGAGAGGATTTTTGCTTTCTTTATTATGAAATATAATCCATACTGAAGACTGTAGCCTTTGGTTGTCATCAGTAAGTGTTTCAAGATGTCTTCACTTTCAGCAAGCAAGGTTGTGTTGTCTGCATGCTGTTAATGAGTCTTCCTCCAATCCTGATGCCACATTCTTCTTCATGTAGTCCAGCTTCTCAGATTATTTGCTCAGCATACAGATTGAATAAGTATGGTGAAAGGATACACCCAATACACACCTTTCCTGATTTTAAACCACATTGTGTCCCCTTGTTCTGTCTGAACGACAGCCTTGTGGTTTATGTACAATTTTCTCATGAACACAGTTAAGTGTTCTAGAATTCCCATTCTTTGCAATGTTATCCACAATTGGTTATAATCTACAAAGTCAAATGCCCTTGTATAGTCAGTAAAACACAGGTAAACATCTTTCTGGTATTCTTTGCTTTCAGCCAAGATCCATCTGACATCAGCAATGATATCCCTTGTTCTACGTCTGCTTCTGAATCTGGCTTGAATTTATGGCAGTTCCCTGTAAAGACGCTGCTACCACTATTTTTGAAATATCCTCAGCAAAAAATTTATTTGTATGTGATATTAATGTTGTTGTTGTTGTTGTTGTTATGTGCCGTCGAGTTGGACCCGACTCATAGCAACCCCTCCTTGGGTTTCCAAAGCAGTATCACTATGGAAGTAGATTGCCCCATCTTCCTTCCGAGGAGTGGCAATAATTTCTGCATTCTGTTGGATTGCCTTTCTTTAGAACAGGCACAAATATAGATGTGCCCCAGTTGTTTGGCCAGCTAACTATCTTCCAAATTTCCTAGCATGAACAAGTGAGTGCCTCCAGCACTGCATCTATTTGTTGAAACATTTCTGTAGGTATTCCATCAATTCCTGGAGCTTTGTTTTTCATAAGTTCCTTAAGTGTACCTTGGAATTCTTCTTTCAATACTATTAATTCTTAATCATATACTACCCCCTGAAATGGTTGAAAATTGACTAATTCTTTTTGGTATGTGACTGTGTTTATTCCTTCCATCGTCTTTCGATGCAAAATATGCACTGTTCAATATTTTGTCTATAGAATCCTACATATTGTAACTCTAGGCTTAATTTTTTTTCTTCAATTCTTTCAACTTGAGAAATGTTGAGTGTGTTCTTCCCTTTTGGTTTTTGAACTCCAGGTCTTTACACATTTCATTAAAATACTTTACTTTGTCTTCTCAAGTTGCCCTTTGAAATCATCTGTTCAAATCTTTCACTTCATCATGTCTTCCATCAACTTTAGCTATTCTCCATTTTCAAGAGCAAGTTTCAGAGTCTCTTCTGACATCCATTTTGATCTTTTCTATTTTTCATGTCTTTTTAATGAACTTTTGCTTTCTTCACGTATGTTGAAGTCTTTGATGTTGTCACACAACTCATCTGGTCTTCAGTCATTGAAGTTCAATGCATCATATCTACTCTTCAGATTGTTTCTAAATTCAGGTAGGATATGCTCTCCAAATTCTTGATCTCATGGACATAAACTTGCACAAGATCAATTGATAGTCTGTTCCACAGTTGATCCCTGGCCTTCTTCTGACTGATGATATTGAGCTTCTCCATTGTCTCTTTCCACAGATGTAGTGGATTTGATTTCTGTGTATTCCATGTGGTGAGGTCCACTGTTTTGTTGCCATTTATGTTGTTGAAAAGAATATATTTGCCATAAATAAGCTATTGGTCTTGCAAAATTCTATCATGTGATTTCTGGCATCATTTCTATCACCAAGGCCACATTTTCCAACTATTGATGCTTTCTTATTTCCAACTTTTGAATTCCAATCACTGGTAATTATCAATGTCTCTTTATTGCATGTTTGGTCAATTTCCAACTGCAGAAGTTGGTAAAAATCTTCAATTTCTTAATATTTGTCTTTAGAGGTTGGTGCATATATTTTAATAATAATAGGATTAACTGGACATCCTTGTAAATGTATGGATATTATCCTACCACTGACAGCAGAGTACTTTACTTTAGATCTTGATGTTCTTTTTGATGATGAATATATCATTCCTCTTCAATTTATAATTCCTGGAATGTAGACCATGTAATAGTCTGATTCCAAATGGCCAGCATTGGTTCATTTGTTTTATAGTTAAAAAAAAATATTTCCACTTCACTTTCTAACTTTTAATTTTCCCTGTATTTTTCATAATTTTCTTAGCCAGGCTAAATTTCTCTCTGTGCTCCCTACTTCAGTTTAACTTGAATTATAGACAGGTTGTCTCTTGTGATAATACTAGTTATTGTAGATTTTTTTTTTCTTAATTCTATTTTGTATTTAAAGAATGAGTAAAGCCTCCAGTATTCTGTCAAAACTCAGAAACTTTAAATCATCTTACCCTTATGTTATAGAAATATAGCTATTCATAAATCTATAAACTTATCTATGAAACTAAAAATTTTGTCCAAAAGTAAGAAAAAGAGGAAGGAAATAACTGGCTACATTAGCAAGTTCATATATGAAATTAAAATCCAAAACCATCCCTTTATTTTATTAAATTTAAATCTTACTTTAGATTCATTGTCTTCAACTCAGTGAAGTAAATCAGTGTAGGAATATCTTAACTAAGGAAAGCATCAGTGACTGAGGTGGTTATTCCCATTCAGATGGAACCTAAAGTAACCTATCTTAGATGTATAGAGGAAATGCAACTGTTCTGAACTGTATGGCTGCTAGATTGTTCTCTGAGGAGATCTTAATAGTCTAGCATATAGAGAAATTTTTTAGTCAGAAATAAATCTTCAGCA